CGGGCCCCGCAGCGCCCGGCTGTCCGGCGCGCGGAGGCGCGGCCCCACCTGCGGCGGAGAACCCAGAGTTCGCGCCCAGGTCGGGGCGGATTTCGGCCAAGGTCCAGCGCCACGCCCAGAAGAGCGCTAGAAGGGCGTTTTCAAAGCAGAAGCGTGAGCCTGGGGGAGGCGCGGGCGCTGGGTCTGTGGCACGACGGACAGCGCTCTGGACTAAAAGCAGATCCTGGTGTGCACCGTCCACGTTGTGGGTTCGAGTCCCACCGGGGTTGAGTTTTGGCTGCCCTCCCTCACTCCCACTGCGATGGAATAGGGTCTCCCCTCCAGTCTCCTGAACCGCAGTTTCTTGCAGACCTGAGGTGGCGACTCCCAGTCTGCTGCTGAGCGAGCCATGATGTTGGCCTTGAGGTAGCAAGCTGCTCTGCACCTCAGCTGGCCTCCTCTGCAAGTCACTTAACTCTCTGTCAGGTCACCTGCCGGTGCCCCAAGCCCTGCGGGGCTCTTGGCTTCTGGTCACTTCTTCCCCTGATGCCCAGTCATCTGTGAACTATGGGTACCCACAGTCACTAGTGATCTTTAAATAACAGACCCCTCAGGTTAGTAGAAGCCGTCTTGCATCTTCAGTAGAAGGGACATCGTGCAGGGTCTATTCCTAGAGATTGAAGGTCAGCGTGGGCCCTCTCTGGTGGCTCAACGGGTTAAAGGGCGACAGTATGAAGCTAGCTTGAGTGCAAGTCCCATCCCCAGCCGGGAGCTGACCCCCAGGGCGCGGCAGACCTCCCCTCACTCCCCGCTGCCCCCTCAGCAGTGTGCTTCGTCAATCTGACTGTTCTGCTCCCCACTGTGTCTCTGGTGACTCCTCTCACCCACACTCCTCCGACCTGTACCCCAGTTCTGTATGCATAAATAAATATATCTTTAAAAAAACAATGGGCAGGAAAGATATTGAAAATAAATAAAAGTTGATTTTGATCTGACAAGGATGGGCGCTATCTCTTCCAGATTATAGGGTGTATCGTTTGGGGGGGACCTGGATAAATGAACAGGCCTCCGTCCCCTGGAGCATGACATCCGAGGCAGTGTGGCAGTGGTCATGGTGGTGGCTCGTGGCATCCACCAGACTTGGGTCAACCTCTCTCAGTAATAAGTTCAAAGTCTCCATTTCTTCTTATGTGTAAAACAATGGGGGCAAATAAAGCCCCAGGGCTGGTGTGCAGAGTCATGGGGGCATTTGAAGTTCTCTGTGCTGTATTTATTATTGTAGTTCACAGGTTTATTGACCCCACCTACAGGATCAAAATCTGGACACAATGAGCTCTGACTGTACCCACAGAGCTCACAACAGAAACTCCTTAAGTGCTTGTTGGCTAAGCAGCCTCCCTGGTGGCCTAAGGGCTGTCTCAGCACTATCACCAATGACCTGAGTTCGATCCCCGACCAGGGAGTGACCCATATGATGGAGCAGACCTCTCCTGTCTCCCCACTGCTCCCCTCAGCAGTATATTTTAGTCAGCCTGCCTGTTCTCCCCATTCTGTCCCTGGTGAATCCTCTCACTCCCCGCACCTCTGGCCTGTACCCCAGCTCTACACAAAAATAAATAAAATCTAAAAAAAAAATCTGTTGAATGAGTGACAGGGAGAGTAAATTGGAGACTCTGAACTTATCCACCATGAACTTGTGCATGGGTACAAGTAAGATTATTTCCACACGGAATGCTGAAACCATAAGCAAAGTGAGAGCTTGGGCACAAGCAGCGGTGACCTTGCTGCGCCCCAACTCCCCGCCCCCTGATCCCGGCACATCACACTGCAGCCAGGGCACTGCCCACTGGACGCTAGGCCAGCCTGGAGAGGCAGATGTGAGGGCACACGAAGGGACGAGAGCCTGCCGCCAGTTGCTTGTAGTCCAGTTGGCCACAGAGGGCAGGTGGAGATTCCTATCTCTCGGTGTTTCCTCATCGGCTTCTCACTGTCCTTATGTCAACACTCAGGGCCTGTTACTGTGACTCGTCCTCTTTGCTTCTGGCTGGACCGATCTGGGTCACATCCCCAGCCCCAGCCGTAAGACAGTGGGCAAGTCGCCCGTCCCGATCCTGTGTTTTCGTCTGTTAAATGGGAACTCGGTCAGCACCTAGCACTGGGCATGGCTTCGGGCCGAGGGCACACGGGGCTGCCCCAAGCAGATGGGGGTGCAGCGGGCTGTCAGTGCAGAAGCCTCACACCCAGCAACTGCTCAGAAGTGTGTGAAACAAAATCTAGTGGGCTTGTACGTCAGGATACGTCAGGATACGTCAGGGCTGGGGGTGTGAGGAGCGCTGTGTCAGGCGGGGGACAGTCAAGAGCCACCGGGGAGTCTTAGAAAGGGCAGGAGGCAGGAGCAGGTCCCATCACTTGTGGGGCCAGCTGAAATTAGGGGGACCTCACACTGGGCCCCTTTTCACTGACACGACCCCCCTCTGCCCTGCACCAGGCTTGTCACCACCTGGCATTTCACTTGGACTCATAGGGGCGGAACTTCCCCGGGGTGAGGGTGGGCGCTGGGTGGGGGGCGCTGGCAGTCGACACTTCTCCCGTGCGTGTTGGGCAGCACTTGCCATCAGGACCCCTCAGCTGTCAGGTGCTCCCACTCTGGGTGTGCAAAATGAACAGCTCCCCGCCACCATGTACTTGGGGACCGCAGGGGCCCTGAAGAGCCTTCCTGGCAGTGACAGCGTCCATTTCCTGAGTGACTGCTGTGGGCTCAGGCACAGCGCGCAGGCACGGCCCCATTGGTACATAGGTCTCTGTTCTCGTTTTACAGATGACAAAACAGAGGCTCTGAGGTAGCTGAGGGTGCAGGGCTGGTCCGTGGCAGGCCTTGGTCTGCCTTCAGAGTCTGCACCCCGAACACTGCTCTGGGGCCAGCTCCTTCGGCTTCTACCAGGCCGAGGGAAAGGGAGCTTGCCCTTGGCTCCTGGCAGAGGGCTGGGCCTGTGTCCGGGTGGGTTCTCCTCCATGCCAGCTGTGTGACCCTGGGGGCTCTCCCCAAACCTCAGAGCCAGGGTCATTATCATGAAGGGCATTTTTTAGGGGGAAGGGATGAGATTTTGCTGTGCAGGCGGTTGGCACGGGACTGGCACTGGCTCCTTATGCTGAAGAGCGAGTACCCGGTGGCACCGTGACGCTCTCACAGCCGCGAAGGGGAGGCCAGGCCCCTGCCCTCCTGAAGCAGACCCAGAGCTTGCCAATAAGTGGACGACTCAGGGCATGGCAGACCATGGTAAGGAAATAAGGTGACGTGACAGGGCGAGGGGGCTGCCCAGACGGAGCGGTCAGGGAAGGCTTCGCTGAGGAGATGACACAGGCGGCTGTGAAGGACCAGATGAGCCTGGGGACAGCGTTGTTTATTGAGATGAAGAATGGAAGTTTCTGGGCAGAAAGAGCAGGGCCCCTCAGGCTGGGGTGAGGCAGTTGGTGCTGGCATCTCTTCTTTAATCATGAGCCGGGACAGAAAAGCCCACCCTGTGGTCAGGAGACCTGACTCCATGGCTTGGGTATCACGCTGGCGCCCGTCTCGAGTGCTGGAAAGAACCCAGGCTGGCAGAGGGGCCTTGAGCCGAGCCCCCGAAGCTGAGACCAGGGGTTGTTGCCGTGAGGCGCGACTGAGCCCAGACGTCCACTTCCTCTTGCGCGTGGGCCCCGGGGAGTGGCTAGCTCTGCCGCGGGCCCCTCCGGGCTTCCTGCTCCCACCCAGGCAGGTCCTCCGAGCCACTCGGCTGCGGCTGCCTCAGACGACATGTCCAAGGGCCAGTGTTCAACGGAAAAGAACACAGACAGAGGCACTGCCGCCTCAGCCCCAGGGCGCAGGGCGTGTGGGGCCGCGTCAGGCCCTCCTGGCTCGCGGCTCAGGGGCGCAGCGAGGCCCTGGTCACGCATGGGGGGACGGTGATGCCCAGCTCCTCCCGCAGGGCCCTCAGGGGCTGCTCCCAGCGCCGCTCGTAGTACAGGTTGAGGACGCTGGGGGCCCGGCGCCCATTCTGAACTGCCCACGGGATCAGCTCCGAGACCAGCACTTGCAGGCTCCTGCGGGCAGCAGAGGGAAGTGAGGGCGGGAGGCCCAGGCGGGCACGCGGTGAGCCGGCTGGCCCGTCCTCACACTGACCTTGCCCCCACCATTCAAACGAGGAACCAGGAGCTCCCGCCCAAAGCCACAAGTCTTAGACAGGCCAAGGCCCACGAGGAAGTGCCAGGCTCCCTACTCCAGAAGCAATGCTAGAAACATCCAGGCTGCACTTGCTCCCTGGAGACCTGGCCAGGCCAGTGTAGCTCTCCCCATCTTCTCCCCCCTTACTGGAGAACCCCTGCCTGGAAACCTGGGCCTCTCAGTTCTCCCCTGACCCCTGGCCACTTGAGGACTTACTGGGCACTGAGACGGAGCGGTCCAAAGAGTGCACCCAGGATGCACATGGGCAGGCCGGTCTGGACAGCCTCAAACCACTTCACCACGATCTCCCCTGGGGTAGGGTGAAGGGTGGGTGGGAGGTGAGCAGAGGCCAGTGGGCTCACGCATGGCACAGTAGGCATCTGCTCCTCTCTTGTCCCTATCCGGGGCCAGTTGTGCCCAGTCCAGCCATGGTGGGCCTGGGACACTTGGCTGGGGGTGGAGGGAAGGGCCCAGGGGACACCCTGGTGTCAGAAAGCAGAGGACTCCACAGCTGGGCTGAGGCGTCCGGACTGGTCCCAGAGGCCCCAGGGGATGCTGAGGGCTTGCCAAGCAGTGGGCACGACCTGCCAGCACAAGGCAGGGCCCCTGTGCTATGCAGCTGCCACATCTGTGTCAGAGAGTGAAGAGGCAGTGGGGCCTGGCAAGATGTTTAGCAGAGGCGGCACCGAGCCAGCCCTGGGGTAGGGGCCCTAGCTGGCCCCGCCCCACCCACACGCTCACCCAGGGTGTTGGTGGGCACCCCCCGCCCGCGCTCACCCGGGGTGTTGGTGGGCACCCCCCACCC